AAGCTCAGCCAAGCAACTGGACTTTGGTCTCACATTTCATAGTACATACAATGGATTCAAAGCTCCAGTTGTGGCAGGGCGCATGTTTTTTTCTAGTTTCATTTTCTGCACAAAAAAAAACAGCAACAAAAAACATCTGATGGAAAAGATTTGGATTTTCACTGTAGCAGACAGATATTAGGTAACTTCTTCTCTGCACAGTGACATCATTCCGTAAAAGTTTAAAAAACAATCCACTGGACTTGGTTTCCAAAGTTTGAAGACGTTTCTCTTCCCCTACAGGAAGCTCTCTCAATTCAAATGTCTCGATTTGCAGAGAGTTTAAGTCTTTATAATTGAAAAAGCCTCAAACTCACTGCGGATCCAGACATTTGAATTGAGAAAGCTTCCTGGAGGGGAAGCGAAACGTCTTCAAACTTTGAAAACCAAGTCCAGTGGATTGTTTTTTAAACTTTTACCGAATGACTATGACCTGGATGACAGGGAATCTCCATCAGCAGTGACATCATAGATTCAGGAGAAACTAGAGTAGGATTGCTGTACCCATCAGCTCTAAATTAAAGCATGCAGCCACCGTTTGCAAACTTGTCCCACTGCTGGGAAACCTATTGCAAAGAACTGTTTCCCAAATTATTAACTCTAAGGTGACAGGTTTGGGTGAAGTGAAGAGGTCTGTGTGACAGGATTGCACTGACCACCAGTGCAGAGCTTGCTCCACTGTAGCAGGAGGGGTAGCAAAACAAGCATGCAGGAACAGCATTAAGAACAGAGAGATTCTGCAGAATGTAAAAGGATGCACTGCAGCAGATTAGTGTTGGAACACGGACTTCTTTGCAACAATCCAGTCAGAGTCCTGTTGTTTTATGTCCAAGCATGACGCACCCCTCTGCTGACATTCATTACTGTTTATTCAGCTAAGAGGGTTGTCTCTGATCCTAAATGTGACAGCCATCTCTTAAAAATTCAGATTTTTTTTTTATAAATTTTAACAAAAAAAATAAACATCTTAAAACTTTTCATATCATTTAAAAAAAAAAATTGATTAAGAAATCTTAATTTGCATCACAGTGAATAAACTTTTCTTATAGATGCTGATTAGCAATATAGACATTCCCACTGTTATTTTCATCATTTATCTCTGGTTATGAGGTTAAAAGGACTCCCTGCAATCACCTTAATCATTGGTTAACTCTACAGATTACCTGTCAGAGTGCAGCCTAGACTCTAGAAGCAACATGCAGGTAAAATTGAAAGGGATACTAGTTCTTTGGCATCTGGCTTCTCAGATTTAGTTGGTCTGTCAGCTAAAGGCGCAACAAGGCAACCCAATGGTTAACCAAGCAAACATAGCCCTCACATAGAAAAGGGTCAGTAGAAGTTTGCTTTTCCATGAAGATTAGCTAGGTGGCAGTAATGCCTTTATCTGACAACCAGGATTTGTTTCTAATGCATGCAATGACATAGATAAATGTCTACATTAGGCACTTTATTGAATCTGAAAATAGGAAACCTTTTAAAGAAAACTTTTAAAACCATTTTATAATGTTGTGTACGGAAGAGGATTAGGGCCACTGAAAAAAAAAAAAGTTAACTGATTTTTAAATTTTATTTCAGTTTAACATGGGAAAAAAGTCACAATTCTGACTTTTTTTTTTCTTAGAATTCTGACTTTAATCTCAGAATTCTGACTTTTTTTCTCAGAATTCTGACTTTTTTCTCAGAATTCCGACTTTTTTCTCAGAATTCCGACTTTTTTCTCAGAATTCCGACTTTTTTCTCAGAATTCCGACTTTTTTCTCAGAATTCCGACTTTTTTCTCAGAATTTCGACTTTTTTTCTCAGAATTCTGACTGTAATCTCAGAATTCTGACTTTTTTTCCTCAGAATTCTGACTTTTTTTCCTCAGAATTCTGACTTTTTTTCCTCAGAATTCTGACTTTTTTTCTCACAATTCTGACTTTAATCTCAGAATTTTGGATCTTAATGTAGATGGGCACCATGAAGGAAGAGATGTGTGAGCACTGAGCTTCACTGACAAAGATGTGAGTTGTTTGAGGTGGCCAATGACACATTGCTGGAAAATGACGGAATTAGGCAACTTTTTACGTCCCCGAGAGGTCCCCTCATTAATGGAGGAGCAGAAGGTCATTAAAACAAGAGAGCTAGTCTCTAAAACAGACATGGCTATGGCTTAATGCTAACATGTTTGTTAGCTGTCAGAATTCTGAGATTAAAGTCAAAATTCTGACTTTAATCTCAGAATGCATGCAGTGACATAGATAAATGTCTACATTGGGCACTTTATTGAATCTGAAAATAGGAAACCTTTTAAAGAAAACTTTTAAAACCATTTTATAATGTTGTGTATGGAAGAGGATTAGGGCCACTGAAAAAAAAAAGTTAACTGATTTTTAAATTTTATTTCAGTTTAACATTTTTCTTAGAATTCTGACTTTAATCTCAGAATTCTGACTTTTTTTCTCAGAATTCTGACTTCACCTGAGGGGTTAAAATCTCCAGCCTTAACGGTATCCAGTTTTATAACGGCGTTACGAAAGCAGTCAAAACCAAACCAGTAGCAGAATTAAATCACTTCATGCACTCAGGCCACAGTCTGGTGCAGCTCCAGCAAGTGATAAAACATCTCAGCGAAAGGAAATGAAAGCACAACTAATTAAAAGCAGGTATAAGATGTTTGACCTCAATAAGCACATAGTCTGATAGCATCAGGATTTTTTTGTTGAAGGTCTTGGTATGTTGCACAACAAAGGAATCAACAGATTCTGCAAAAATAGACATCATTATCACAAACCTTTTTTTTTTTTTTTTTTTTGACACCTTGGCGGTGGTGTGAAAGGAGTCTGCTTAAATGACTGATCTGTGATTTAAAGCTGCTGATTAGCTACGATTTCAGTTAAATAATAGTTCAAAAGGAAGCCAGTAAAAAGATTCATATCCTGAACTTTCCAGTTGCAAACGGATAAATTGGCAAATGGCTTTCTTTCTTATCTGTAGAGGAGATGGTAAACCGACCATGTTGGTAAAAAAATAAACAGTTTACTAGAACAATTTATACAGCTGCTCACAAGGGTCCTATATGAGGCCTTTTCAGTCCTTTACAGGCAAATATTTGGTTAAATATTTAATTTGCCGCTTTGGAGAAATCATTTGTTAAGAAATATCAGTTGTTTTTGTCCAATGAAGAAAAAAGCCACTTGCATTCACTCCCTTTGTGGCTACCCTCCAGTTCACGGTGCACCGATATCACGCCACCTCTGGTTTATAAGGCTAAAAAAGAACCTGAGGCCTTTTACATTTCACACTTTCACCTTTTCTCCTTTTTCCTTTCCTGTTCTACTTTCCCATTGCAGTGTCCATATAATCTATAATGAACCTGCATGAATTATAATAAATCTATTAATAAGCATAAATCAAGCGGAACATTATGGCGAAAGCCGCACTGCTCCACTCGTGAAAGAGAAATCTGTTGGGCTCTTTTTTGGCATCAAGACTATTATTCTTATTGCCAGAAAGGACACTAAGAATAAGAAAAAAAAATGAAAAGTACATTTTCATGACTAACAACAATAACAGTTTGACGTCATTGTGTAGATTAGGTGATAAAAAAAGCCACTTTGAGCAGAATTAATCACGCTGTGCCTCGCTTTATAGCTCACTGACGTTTGTTTACAGAGCAGGAGCAGTGATGTTAAGTTATCTGCTTTCTGAAGGGGCCGGGTTTCACACTTTGCTGCGTAGGAAGATGAAGGCTGCCTGTTTATTCCAGGACTAAAGATGGACTGCCTCAGAGATCAGAGATGAATCAAGTGAAATAACAACTTAATCTTGATCCTTCCATTGCTGAAGGAATAATATATAACATGGTTTAAAGTAGATTTTGTGATATAGCACCTTTAAATATGGCTGCAATGTGTGCATTATGTTGTTTTCCGTTGTTGTTCTGTGTTTTTAAAAGGCCTACATGCCACGAGGTCAGGCTAAAGTGAAGGGGGTGGACCAGTGTGACGCATCTGCTCTGCTCAACCTGATCAACTACTGTACATGTTTCTGCTTTGTGGATCCAAAGCTGGTGAGACAGGTGAGCTTTAGTAAACAAAACAATGTTATGCAGCTTTTTTTTCTTGCATTATTAGGTTTTGAACACATGATTTTTACCATGCATTGTAGTGTTTTCTCTTTAATGAAGCTGGAGCAGTTAACGTCGTCTGTGCACACACTTTTTTTCAATGCACACATGGTGTGACAGAGACAGCTCTAGAAAGTCCCCAAAGCAGCTGCTCTCATATGAATATGTTTTAAATTCATCAGCCTCTCTGCTAAGGGCAGACACCTGCTCAGGAAGGAGGAATCTTCACTCTGGTGAAACCCTGCAGCAGCTCCAAGCCAACCATTCTTCTCAATTAGCATCATAGAGTAGCAGCCATTCAAAATGGCCCTTCCCAGTCAAACACCAGCTGAATGGTGCTTCTGTCTCCTTGAACCCCAGTCGGCCTCGGCAGATGGTTGCTCACACTGAGCCTGGTTCTGCTGGAGGTTTTCTCCCTGTTAAAAGGGAGTTTTTCCTCTCCACTGTCACTACAAGCATGCTTAGCGTGAGGGATTGCATCCGAGTCAATGAGTCGATGCAATCCACTGGTTTTCCTTAGATAGAAAACTTTGAACCAATTTGACTTTATAATCTGGTGAACTGTTAAGTGCCTTGAGATGACATGGGTTGTGAATTGGTTCTATATAAATAAACTGAATTGAATGGCAGCCTACTTCCCTGCAACTCAAAGCAAAATCCCCTCCAAATCTAGCCACTGGAGTGACCCCCTCCTTCTCTTAGGCGTCGTTTCACTGAATTACAGGATCTGACCAGGAGAAGATGCTTCTCTTTAGATCTTAATATCCACAAATCATGACAGAAAGAATATTTTAGTGTAAAGATTGATATTTAAAAAGCAATTTTAGGGGACCAGCCAAGGGCTCATCAAGGAAACTGGGGAAATTTGGAATGGCTACTACTGTGTATAATATTTTTGCCCCAGTTGGAACCTCATTTTTTAAAGGCTGTGCTATTCCTGCAATAGGTTTACATTCTCTTATCAAGGGCAAAATGTATTAATTCACCACATGTGCAACCCTCACACCCTCCTCTTCTCCTTTCACCAGCATTAAATCACTGTAGTTCAGCCTTACCTAAGGGGGCTCAGATGACATGAAAAAGCAGAACTGAATTGCAGCCAAAGATCTCTTGAGTCCCACCTCTTTTCTCCTAGGTTTGCGTCGCACTTAGCATATATATATATATATATATATATATATATAATCCACACAAGGTCAAAGTCATACTGACAGGCTGCACACTTTGAAACTCTGAACACACGCTTTTAGTGCAGCTAACAAGCTAAGGGCATTATTCAGATAACTTACTGCTGTTTAGAATCAGTTCCTAGGATGAAATGAAATAAAACTTTAGGGCTGTCCTTGAAAAAAAAAATTATGTTTTGCATAAGGTTCACAAAATGTGAAATGAAAGGATTTAGATCTCATCAGAGATGGCAAAAGTACTCACTTTCCGTACTTGAGTAAAAGTACAGATACTTGTGTTAAAAAATACTCTGGTAAAAGTGGAAGTACTG